ATATTTCTGGCCTGCTATTGGTTATATGAATGGCGCTTTAAATAGAACTAGCTGTTTTATGTCTTAATCATAACTCAAGTCTTCAATTTCTTTATTGCTAGGTCTTGGGAAATCATATTTACATTATCCTCCCAATTCTCTAATCAAAATATAAGCTTCTCTCAAAGTAAACCCTTTGTCTAACAAATCTCTAGGAGAGTAGCGCAAGAATATTTCTATAGAGGAAATGCCTCCAGAAAATAATTTAACAATCAAATTAAGTAATTATATTTCTCTCTTCTAATCAAATCTCCTTCTATCAATATTAGCAGTTACTATATTAATCAACTATGATATCTAAATTTACATTTAACTTGGCAATTAAGCCAAAATTTGACTAGATCCCTGATTCATACTATACCTAAAATTAAAACAATAAAAATTATTATGACTAATATGAATTTTTTAAGGTAAAACCTTAGTATTCCAATTCTTCCAGGAATCACTAAAACTATTCATCTTAGAATTCAGGAAAAAAAGAGAAAACTCAACTTTTAATTTAACCTTCTTTTTATCTATTTTGCTTGATTAATTATCATTAAACTAAAATAGTTTTTATATTTTATGCAAAATCCTTAGATTACAAGCTCTGTATATTTTCCAAAACAATCATACTTGAACAAATACAAAGGATTTTACGAATTAAAATAATAGAAATATCATAGTCCACAGGAACGCAAATTTAAAGAATGGAATCAAAAAAATAATTAAACATCTGATTTTGAAGAAACAATAGTAATAACGAATTCAGTCAAATAAATAATATCAAAACGAAGGATTACTTTTGAAAATTAAATTAATAGTGATGAGGAGTCATATTTCTAAAAAAATGATGGTTCACTTTCTTATCGATACTTAACAAATAACTAAATGTTGAAATAATAGAAATAATTATTACCTTCGCTTCCATGCTAAACTAATCTTAACTAAATCAAACCTTAAGCAAGATAGTTTTTTGCCAAACCATTTATTAAAAAACAAAAAAGCCTTGATCATGTAGTTCAAATATGCTATTCAAATAAGTAATTTGCTTAATTAAAAGACGGCGCTAGTTTAAGATGCTTATTCAAAACTTCGGTTTTTAAAGAAGAGAATTATGATAAAATTTTAATAATTTAATTTGAAAGTAATAAATTATCTATAAATTTAGATCTTATATTAAAAAGATCATGTTCATTTTGGGAAAACTAGACTGAAATAACTAATTGTGGTATCAGTTTAGGAACAAACAATCAAGAATAATGTGAGAATTCCTATTGCATTTGTAATTTAAGAAGAGAATTCAAAAATACATTAAAAATGTACATCCATTATATTACAAAAGATTGTCAAAGACATTCATAATAATTTTCTTGGTGTAAAATGCTAATTTTATGATAAAATGGCATAAATATTTGTAGGATTAAAATTATTAATATGATGCAATATACTAAACTAGAATAGCAAAAGATGTTCACGTTGGTGGCATTTAATTGAATAAAGTTTTTAATGATTTCTAGAAATTTAAATTATCTAAAATAATTTACTTTGATTCAATTGACATATCGAATTCATCCAAATTGCATCCCGAAGACTTGTAATATAAAATACCAATAACTAATTTCAACATAGAAACATCAATTTTTCTATTTAAGAAAAATTTACAATAAAAGTAATTTGATACGAATTTGCTATATAACATATCTATGGCATTTTTTTAAGGCAAGGAACATGTAATAAGCAAAAAATAAGTTTATTTTGAAAATGTTGATTTACATTTTGTATTTGAATATTATTCTTCCTAAAGTTAAATTAAGAAAACCATTTAATTAAGAAAACTGAATGAGTTAAAATAAAAATATTAGAGCATATTATATACATTAAATTAATCTCAAACTACACAAATTGAAAAGGATGAATATTTAATTTAGTGGATATCAGCAACGAGGAATGATTTTATAAATGATTTTAAAATCAAAAAGAATGAAAGAGTTCCTCAATTCTATTTTACAATAGGAGATGTTATTGTTAGGAATTAAAAATTAAAATGGTAACATTTTAGTTATAAAATTGAAAAATTATAAATTGGATACGAACATCTTTGTAAATAGATAACTAAACTAAATTAGGATCATGAAAACTTTGAAAAGCATTAACATTCGATAAAAATTAATTGTATTCTTTGTATTGAATGATGTTTCTATATACTTTAGCTATATATTAATTGTTCAATTTATATTATTTGCCTTATTTTAATATATAAATCAATATAATTTCTTTTAAAATTTTTAGAAATAAACATTCGGGAAGAGCAGATAGGGCATAAATTTAGAAATTATGTCATCCCTATTTCTTAGATTTGCTATATATATCATTTTTTCACCATTATGTTCTGGATAATAATCTGTATATGATTTCTTTTATTCAAAGTTTTTCAACTCCTTTTTCTCAAACTTTTTGAAATTTTTGTATTTCATGATCAAAAATGATATTGCCTCTTTATCTTTTGGAGGTAGATTCTTATAATTCTTTAATTATTAGTATCTTTATTTTAATTGATCTTCGATTGCATCATTAATTATATTATCTTATTCCGGATCATAATTAATAATCTACTGGTTGTTTTATCTCACGTAATCGATTGGATTTTAAGGTCTTCCTATGATACTTATTGAATGCTTTAAGCCTTGAACTTAATTGAAATTAAATGGATCATTAATATTCATTTAAGAATTTTTTCGAGATGGTGCTGCTGGCGAGGAATGCTATATGATAATTTTAGGGATTTAGATAAGAGTTTTATTTTCACTTTAGGGTTTTTCTTAAAAATCAAAATGATATTTCTTGTAATATTCATTTTAAATCTTCTTCAAAATTTCTAGATCTAAAGTATTATTACACTTTCTGGTTTTTCTTGTAAATTTGGTTCTCCTTTATTTGTGATCGAACTAATATCTTTTAATAATAAGATCTCTTTATGGGATATAATGCAGCATAGGACATTTAATAATAGAATGTGAAGGTGATTAACATGATAAACATTATTCATCCCAAACCATTTCTGAAAATTGTATTCCATCTCTAGTTTTGCAATAGAGTTCAAAGTCTCTTGGAAATTCTTTAAGAAGTTGCATAAAATCATATCTACAAATCATTAATAATTTAGAAAAGCCAACACTCTTATAGATTTCATTAGTGGGTATTCCTAAAACGAAGCTTTTCAATCCAAAAGTTTCCCCTACCATAACCTACCTGATTTGAATTTTATTTTATCCCTCAGTGCATACCGAAATTTCCCCTTTTTCAACATAACATACAAATTAATCTAATTCTTTACGAAATTCATTTTCTGGCAATAAATCAACCACGCTTATTCTTTTCGATAAAGCTTTTTAAAATGGTCTACTAAATTAAGAAAAGAAAGGCATTTCTCTAATAACTTGTGTGTTGACCTACCACATTAATTATTCTTGCAGTTTTTCTGACAATTGATTGATGATGGCCTTTTCTTCCATAGTTTCTTCTTCCTACTGTTACATCCAATATTGTTTCAAATACTATCGAATTTATTCTTGGAATGCATATGGAATTCTTTTTTTGTGTAAATAGGTATTTATGATTCTTATATTCTTTTTTTATAATTCTGTTTATGAAGTGATTTCTGAAATTACATTTCCGACTGTATTAATAGAGTATGGCAATTGAACACTGGACACCATAATTAACAATATTGCTATAATTCGTTCTTCGTCACTTTTTGGTGTGATATCTCCGTAACCAACCGTAAACATAGTAACACATGCGTAGTAAAATGATGATAAATACTGAATATTCCACGGCTTATCCAATAGATTTCGATCGTCTATCCAACTATCATCTCTGTATAGTTCACTAAATTGACCTCCCTAAATAGATTATTAGATATATTACCCAAAACCAGAGACACCCAAAAATGTGGATCACATAAAATATTAACAATGTAAATTTGAATAGTTACAAGATTGAGGAAGCTTGTCTTGTGAAGTTTAAAGCCATTTCATATTATTTTCCTTTATTCTGAACATTCTTATAATGTGATAAAAATAGTAATAGAATTAAGTAATAGGGATTTTAGTTAATGTCTACTTTAGTGCCGGTTGAGGCTGAATAGAGGAAAAGTATAAAAACTATAAAAGTTGATATCCACTCCAAACCAAACGACTACCATAATACGTTTTTAATTATTTAAATTCTTTTAGTAACAATTTAGCCAGCTTCATAAAATACAGTGTTCAAACTTATAAATAGATCCACCAATAATATAGTTATCATTATCAAAGTGCTTATGAAATAATTGTCAAATAATAATTATTCTTGAGTCCAGCAGATGTCAACTGGAATCATGTATAAAAAATAGAGTCTTGCTATTGTGGCTACGACATCCCATATTGTTTTGTATAAACTTTACGGGTATATTAATGGAATTTTATTTATTTTCTTTGCAATCCAAGAATATATTGGATGACAATAATTACTTAAATGCTTTTTTAGCATTTTATTATTCTCATCCACACTTTATATCATGGCTGAATATTTTTCATTCAATATTCTATAATGATATTCCTTGAAATGGATTTGAAAAAATTTCCGAGCTAACAATCTATCTATAAACAATTTGACATATTTGTTCTTGGTGGCCAGATTTTTATAGATGAGCTTCGATTGAAAGTCCTTTGTTGCTTATCTGGTTAAGAAACTGATCATCCGGTGTTTTAAGTTACTTTACCTAGAGCTTTCGGTAACGTAGAGGCTTTTCACATTTTTATTGAGAAAAGACTCTCTGCCATCCTGATTCGAAGATTTGACATCCTATCTGCATGAGCTATACATTTTATAAATTGATAATCAAATTAAATATATCAGATCATTTCTGCTAAGAATAATCTTTATGAATGAATATAAATATAATAATGTAAAAAGTGATAATTTAATATATGTCATATGCTCAATTATCTTTTTCAACGAAGCTTCCCCTAATAGTAGTGTTCTTGGCCTATCTGATACGATCAAAGAGAGTGAAATTGGTTTTCGTTCTTTTCATTTCTCTCATATCAAATTCCTGTCTTTTCTCATTTAATTTTTCATAATAAATATTAATCCTATCTATTACGACTTCAAGATTGAAATCAGGAAAATAGAACTTTGACGATTTCGCATTGTCCATGTCCATTTCAAAATGAATTCGAACAATGTCTTGTATTCTCTTCTAAATTCCATCCATTGATTAGCCCACATGCACACTGTTGCTATCTCCATTGTTATCAAATTTGTTATTGGAATCAACCAAGGCTGAATTGCTAGGTACTCCAGCCGTATACACACTAGAACTATAGGCTTCATTGTTCGGAACACTTTTTTCTGCTTTCTTATTATCAATTTCAGATTATTGGAAGAACTGTAATAGCTAAGTGGTTTTTCTTCTTTTCTTCCGACGAGTGACTTCGATACTTTAAATTGAAATTGAATCATACTTGCTGGTTTTCTTGGAAATAATACTATTTTCCCTTGCCTCTATTCTTTGTTTGATTTCAATTTCCTATGAATAGGAGGGAGGTGATTGATCGAAATTAGTTTCACTTCCCTTACTAACTTGCTTTAATAAATGGTTCTGTTTATTATCTAGTTAATTTAAATATCAGATGAAAACCTAGATGCTAATTAGTGCCACTGTCAAATTCTAACCATGATACTTTTCTGATCCCTATGTTCGGATTGTTGGCGAGCTTGCTTTTGACTACCTTCAATTTGCTATGTATATGATTTTGCGATCCCGCATTGGCATTTTTAATTTTATCTTCCTCTTGAATCAAAGATTCATCCAACATATCAACTGCCCCATTATTATTTTGATGATATTTCCCTTTCAATGATTGGAGAGTCTTGCCTCTATCCAATCCTTGCAGCTTTATTCGATTAAGACTCCTTCTAAATTGACTGCCCTAATCCCAATCTAAGACACTTTCCTAATAAATCCATTAGACACATATTTTTACATTTGTCATGCTAGGTCGTTGACCATCTTTGAGAAAGATTGCTGTTTGATTTTGGGATTTTTGATCAGCAGGTAACACAGTTTAGATTGAAGGTTACGGAACTGGCTATTAAAGATTGTTTTCAAATTAAGACAATATTTTCTGATCTTTGAATAAGGAATTCTTTTTATTTCCAACCATCTTCTGTAATTCATCATCTCTATCATTCAACTCAAAACCTAGATTAATTAGATAAGCATCATTTATTTCTCTTGAATAATAATCAACAGTACCTTTCCGGTATTATATTATTCAAAACTATATATCCCAATGCTGCTTCTTAGACATCAGGCAGATTATTCTTCCAATTCGATTTTGGCAATGTCCTATAAGGAAATACCAATCGTTTATTGGTTTTTGTTTAAGCAAAAGAACTGGCGATTTTATTTTTGTTTGGTTACAGAAATACGAATGGGCATCTATAGAAAATATAAAAATTAAACTTACTAAATGAATCTATGAGTCCAGCCGCATATTTCACAGATCTACCCGAAACCCTTGTAATTGGAATTAAATAATAGATTGTCTTTAGCCAAGCAGTACTTCTCGAATTCCTCGTTGTTCTCTTATAGAATGAGATAGAATTGCTAATAACTAATTCAAATGAATTCAAAATAATACTCCACAACTAATAATTGAGTAAATTTGGTTGCTCTGGCATTGTATTCATAAGGTGTTTGCGAAATGAACTCTCGTTCTCCAATGACAGCTCTATAATATGAATGTTATTTACCCTTGAGTTATCTTCTTCAAGAAGGTTTCAGTGTAAAAGTGTTCATCCTCATCTAAAAGCATTACTTAACATTTATACTTTAATGGTCAGCAACATATTCCACCGCACCAGATAAAACAAACCAAAGTGCTTTGGGAGAATCGTTCCTCTAGAATAGTAATTATTCTGGATATAACTTGGTTTCTTTAACTATCTGACATAACCTATGGATTGTTTCATCACTAAAGTTCTCCCTCAAAAAACGTGATTAAGTCAGTGTTTTACTGTAAATATCCACTAGAACCTCTTCTCTTAGGTGTTTTGTTAATTACTCAATGAATTATTCAGCATGTTGATCTTCCTCTTACTTAACTTTGAAGAAATACTCGAAATATTTTTTAACCTATATTGATTCCAACTGACTACCTTTAATTGCAAATTGTAACTCAACCCTCTCTTTCTAATGTGCTGATTGATTTCCCTAATCCTCTATTTATAAATAGCCTTTTTATCAGATATTTATTTAAAAATGTTTCCAATGTTGGATAGACAATAACCAAAAACACCACAAATCAACAAAGTAACAACTATCACAAACACTCTCTCCACTGTTGTGACTGGAACAATATCTCCATATCCTACCGTAACTGTTGTGATAACACTCCAATACAAAGAAATTATGTATCTATCAAACCAATAGTAATCCATTGCATGAGGGTCATATTTAGTCAACCAAGTTAATTCCTCACCATAGTTTTCATATTCTATCACTGCTACCCAATGCCATGCGCAACCACAAAAGTGTCCTGTGAGCAAGAGGAAGAATATCAATTTTAATAAGTCCAAAAATACCTACATGTTATCCTATTCATAAGTTTGTATATATTACTTCCAAATTTAACACTTCTTCGATACTTGTCATCAATGGAGTCAATCTGGTTAATCTCAATAATAATGTATATCTAACGAATGGGATATCCATGTTCGAAATTAAAAATGGAATTATGACTATTAAGTCCCAGAAAAAGTTCCCCTTCACATAATGCTTCATTATCTACTTGCGATCTTCATGCATTAACCCCTTATCATAATAGGCAGTATTGAAATTCAACAATATCTCAGCAACAAATACCCATGAGGGCAATAAATCAAATATCCATTCAAATACTCCCTATGATCTTACATCAAAACTAATGTAGATGGGTATGTAGAAGATGTTAACCACAATAAATAACAGTAATACTATATCCCAAATTATTTTGAATAAACTATCAGGTTTTATTACTTTCACATATTTTCCAATAAATGCATTTATCAATTCTATCCAATTCAGAAGTTTTAGAGCTTTATTTTAAATTTAGTCAAAAATAATTAAACTGATACTAGGTTTTTATTTAATTAATCTATTTATTAACATATATTCGAAATTTGCACTGTTGTCGCAAATTACCTCAAAAATTCTTTTAGTAATTAATCTAAATTTTATTCTCTCTGTCTTTGTTTTTAATTGTTGTATAAATCGAGAAACCAATCTAATAATTATTAAGGCTTTTTATGTCCAGACTTCATTTAAACTAAAATTTCACTATGAAATGTATACCCTGTTTTCATCTCTTTGCTTTTGCCTCTCTGTATCAACGATTGCTATTTTATAGTGTCTCTATGAACTTATGCTCTCTTTGTTCTTTCGTTCTGCTCCTGCTCATCTTCTATTTGTTACACAAATGTCTAATATTTTGCTATCTTAGCATCAGATTTCAATCCCAAATTGATAGTACCATTAATCTGAAGTGGAGATGAAATCACAAAGTCATCTTGTTCTAATTTTTATTAATTTTAAATTGTTTTGTTAGATTTATTTATTGTAGTCTTTATTAATAGGGGTTTTTAGGATTTCAAATTGCAACTTATTGAACTTATAGAACCTTAAGGTTCACTCCTTTTACCACTTTAATATCAAATCTTAATACCTTAAATTACTCATAAGACAGTCCTCCTCATTCACATCAGCCTTGTGGCCTAAATTAATGGCATTCTTATGACTGTTATCAAATATATCCCTCTTCATCCTTACAGCTTCTAGTTACTACAATTAAGAAAACTCAAGTGTTGGATCTAATTGTTAACCTCCAATAGGACTAGCCTAGTCGATATCAACCAATTGCCCTGATGAGATGTTATTGCTCTGAATTCCACTTTCCAAATCCTAGAATCCAGTGTCTCGATTAATCATTAATTTATATTATTAAAAATTAAGTAATAATTATAATAATACTTGGTTTCATGAATCATTATTCCTAATTTCGATGTAAGACTTCAACAACTCAGTTTAGGTTAAGTTATACACAATTAATTTTTATATCTTCCCTCGAAAATCCGTATCATAAAAGTATCTGTCCACCAATCCTTCAATATGTGCTCCAACATCTGTTACATACTGGCTCTTCACCACATTTGTTGTCTTTAGTAAATGTACCTAATTAATATGCAATCCAATTTTACAAGAGATGTAGCTATATCATCACTCACTTTTCCTTGGTTATTTGAGTTCACAAGCATCACTGCAAAGGATAAGCAACCAGCAGATATCTCGCTTTAGTAATACATGCTTTACAGTATATAATCGAAGCAACACAACTTTAATGTAAAGTAAGCTATCTCAATTATATCATTCTCCTTATCTTTTATCTTACTCAAATATAGTCTTAATAATAAGGTTAAAAACAAAAAACCATTAGAAAAATTAAGTTAATGATCTAAACTTTCAAAAATTTCTAGCTCTCTCTACAAAATCTTAGTTCTAGCCAATCTATGATGTGAAATATCTATTGCCTAATCTAATCTTAATGGTATGACATCGTTAAACTTTGATGCCAAATATATACAACTAACACCTGTTAAGTGAAGATTATCTTTTGTAACACTATCATCTATAATTAAAACTTACTTTCGAGTTATCTTTTAATATTCATCCAAAATAGAACAAACTATGAAAAACGTCGAATAATTCATTGAATATGCCTGTGTGATCTCTACCAACCAGTTCAAAAACCTAATTCTCTCTTCATCATCCAAACCCTTGGGGTCTTAAAATAAGTATTCAGTTGGCTTATTTTGTTTTTCCAAATAACTTTACAGTACTAAATTATAAAATTCATCAGTTTTCCCATTCTTCTGAATAATCATGCTTAAATCTAGTTTGAACTCCAATGGACAATGCATTTCTTCAGGATTTTCTATTTCCTTTTGATTCTCTGATTCAGTTGCCTTTTATTCTATTGCAGATGCTAGCTCTCCTAATTAGGCAACAATTGCCACTTTGTCAGATTTCACTGATACGCCAGAACTGAAATCGGAAACTGAATCACTTGCAATGATGGAGGAGGATTGCTTTGATTGTTTTGATTTCATTTATTTAATTTTTAAAGGCATTCAACCGCTCAATAATATAAATTTTATATCACAGTACAAATTAAAAATTAAATTCCAAGCTCCTATTTTCTAATTATTTAATAGAACTCTACTATCCCTTCCCTTCAATTCCCACCTTCTTTTCATCTATTATTATTAATTGCTATGTCTTTCGATCGAATTTGCTTGGAGGGATAAAAAGACAAGATTAATATTTAATTTAAATTACTTACTATTTGCTAGCTGATTCATTGGATTTTGATAGTATGGTGATATTTTTGGATTTCAAATATTTAATTAATAGATGTCATAAAGTTATTTATTTTTTAGATGAATTAAAAAAATAAAAAATCTCTTTCAAATAGAGTGAAGTAAGCAACCAGAGAATATCTTGCATATTTTTAATTTCTAATGTTGAGAGAAAACTTTGATGTCAATCTAAAAAGCATTTTATGGTTTCGATTCCTTTATATAATTAATACTATACAAGTTGTTTAATTAATTAATGGCTAAAACGTGTAAAATATTCATATTCAAAATTAGCTTCATTTAAGAGATGCTAGCCAAATATAGAATAAATTTATTAATTTATTTTGGGAATAGCAACTATTTGATTTTTGCCTACATCATTATTTTAAGCATTTTTTTTCATATAGCTATTACTTAATTTGTAATCAAAATGAAAATTTCAGTCCATCAATTTATTGGTTCCTTTGTTGTTCAAACGATTTATTACGTATAGTCTATACCAATAATTTTGAACTCCCTGCATGCCATTTTAAATTAAGATCAATACGGCCATTTAATTTTGTTCATCTTGAGTGTTTTATTGAATGTCATGTATATTTACTTCAACCGCTAAACAAGTTTTTATTAGATTGACGGTAGTTTTTCAAGATAATCAGATGAAATTATTATCTTTCTATTTCGAATTATTTTATGCATATTAAAGATCAAAATACCTATAATCGAATTGTAATTCACAATATTGCTCATTGAATCAATTTTGTTGACTATATTTTAAATGAATAATACTGAATCAAATAGTCATTTTATTTTAAATTTAAGAATATTCCTATTAGTAATTGGAATAGCAGGAATAGCCAAATTAGATTGGATCTAATTATTTTTGCTCTACATATTCCTTAGGAATATAATATAATCTTATAAAAATAAAGATGAAACAAATTAACTGTTTTAAGCTGAAAATTAGGGTTAATTAAAATTATTGATTTCATAAATTGTTAACTATAATTAAAATGATGAGACTTTTAAGCTTATACTCATTTAAAGGTGTTTTAAATTGAAGCTTTGCAATTTGCAACCTAATAATTATAATGACATTAAGATCTAAGATAGATTAATGATAGAACGATATTTTTAACAGAACTTTTATAAGCTCTATTTTGTATTGTTGTCATAAAATTAACAAAAAATGAAATTTTTAGATATTGTATTTGTGAAAGCGTATACCTATTTAATTTAACAGGAATGCTAATCAAGATCTAAGAGATAGTAATAAGACAACTCATGGCTAATTCGAATTTTCGTATAATAAGAGACTAATTTTGATATTTTGGAATAAGCTAGAATAACAAAGTTAATTTATTTTCAGAATCTAATTAAGACAAATATGAATGATTCTAAATATTTTAAGATGATTAAAATTTAGACTTAGTAATTTTGTATAAAAATGTAAAATTTAAAGAAAAAACTTGAGAGTAATATTGATTTAAAATCTTAAACTCTTTAAAATTCTGATATTGTTGATCTTAAAACAATTTAAGCTATTCAAAAATACTACTATGTCTTTTATGGTGATCATTAGAAAGTATATAAGATCTTATATATTAGGCAATTCAGATTGGAGTGAAGGCTAAGGATTAGTTAGGATGGGATCGTAGTTTAAATCAAAAGTTATAAAAAAGTAAAAGTTTTCATTCGATATTTAGATTCAATCTTTCTAATTTAAGTAAGTTATTTATAAAAGAAATGGACAATTCTGAACCCTAAAGCAAAGTACTTAGAAGAATATTTTAAAAATCAATATTTAGATAATATTTTGGATTTGTTTCCATAATTTTTAAGAGGATATTATGAATAATAATTGAATAATTACATAGAAACTGAATTTGTCGATAACTAACAATTAAAGACTTTTATATTGAAAAATAATTATATAATTTCTTGTAGAATTTTTTTTTATCACGAAGTTTTAGATAATGACTTAATTATCAACAATGTTATAGAGATTGAAGATAACAATAATTTTCTATTGTTTGATTAATTTGGCAAAATTTTTGGGATTTCAGAGTAACTCTTCAGTGAACTTTAAAAACTCGATGAATATACTACCCAGGAAATAAATTACTCAACTTTCCTCGAAAAAGCAATGATATAATTTTATATTCCAGGCATAGAATATTAAGTTCTTTAACTTATTTCATGTTAATAATGTAATTAAATTGAATTTTAATCCTCCTTTTCAAAAAACCTTAACCTTGATGATTGCTTATAGTTGAAAATAAATTTCAACTTATCAGAGGAACACCTACCTTCGATTAAACGTACTTCATCGTAGAATTTTCGAAAAATATTTCAAGACGATAACCAAATATATAAGAATAAGAAAATATAACTGTTAAATCCTAAATTTTCGATGTAGTTTGAATCAACCCAATAGTGTCTAAATTAAGAGTAAAATATATCGTCTCAGAATTTTCAATTAGAATATATTCAATTAAATAATTGTGATTATTATTATTTTATCCTTCATTTTTCGGATTTCAAAAATAATTTGGAAAGCTAAGATAGGAGTTTGAAATTAGAAACAAAGACAATAAGCAAGAATCATGCTATTGAAAAGAACATAAATATGTCAGTTATTGAATAAATAATAGAAAAAAAGAAAATATCAAGGAATTTAAAATTATAAATAATACTAATAGTTATTCTTATTGTTTATGTGGTTAGTAGTATTTTTATCAATAAATAGTCAGGACTCAGTGAAATCAAATCTTATTAAACCTCAATTAATTTCTTAATCAATCCTTAAGCCTTAACTTTCTCATATGCAGGATCATTTCTTTTATAATGGAATAGATATTGTGTATAAAGTGGTTTATATAATCTGTCTTAATATATAGAATTTTAAAGACAATAAAAATTAAATTATGCATTTACATTATGGAAAGGTATACACATCAATTACACTTTGAATCTAAGCAAAAGAAGCAGAGAATTAGGTATGGAAATGGTTGATGTAATTGAATATGACAAAAACAATAATAAAATCATAACTCAAATGGACTATTACTCATTTTATACTATATCTAGAGAAAAAATGGTTAGAGTGTAAAAGAATACTAATTATACAAATATTTCAACTCATGATTATTCTATATTCAAAGCAAATGGGTTTATTAGGCAGAACATTTTGACTATCTTTAAATTTCATGATATAGTGATAAATGATGAAATTGAATATTTGAAACAAAAGGTAGAGTTCTCTCAAACCAATTTTTATTTGATAGAAATAATTCAGATAGGTTGTGCAAATGTACTATAAACTGCTCTCATTTGTTTTATATATATGCAAGTCAAATTAAAGAATAGAATATTCTTTTTATTATCCTTAATAGAGATTAATTCGATAAATGCTTAGATAACATAAACTAAAGAGTTTTCTTAGTTCACAAATTATTCCTCAAAATCGAAGAAATAATATTTAATTAATAATAAAGATTCAACTGAAGATCTTTAATAATAGAAAAATAACCATACAATTTAAAGATTATAGAATATTAAATTCTCCTCTAGGTTGTATTTAATCATACCAATTGTATTTATGGTCTGTTATGGTTCATAAATGATAGGAGCATATTATTACAGAGCGTTTTACTATAATAATTATAAGAATTCATTATTGATGACTATGAATTATATTAAATTTAAGAAACTATTTGATAGTTCCATCTTACTTGGTGAATTAATTAAAACAGAACATCTAATACCATCAAATCCTCATCATTTAATTAATTAAACTGAAACTGTAGAGTTATATTTGATGTATGCTGACAATTCAACTGATTTGTTTAATAAAATACTGGATGACTTAATTGTATCAGATTATTTTAACTATACAATGAAAAATTTAATATTAAATGCTTTTAGAAAGGATTTGTGTTTAAATTTTACAAGATTTCTAGTCTTTTGTAATATAAGTTAGATAAAACTACCTTACAAAGCCAGTGATTCTTATTTAACTATCACTTAAAATGGTATAGGGGGAGTAATATAAAATTACAAAAAGATGGTGCAATAAGATTATTATATAGAGAGGTAGACTTTGAAATATTCAAAGAATAATACTTAATTTATTAATTCTTAGATTCACTAGAATTTCTTTGTTCAATATGCCGAAGATATTTAATCATGCTTTTTCACTTGTTTTAGTTACTTCATAAATGAAAGTATCTATTTAAGTGATCTATTTATTGAAGCGATGTCAGATTACTTTAACTTAACTGGAATTATGTAATTATTTCTAAAATTATTTAAGTATTTTGATATTATATATTCTATTCTCTGGGTTTTGGATCGTATATCAATATTTACAGATACATTAGATAAAATTTGTTTTACTCTTACTTGAACCAAAATTAGTATAGAAAAAAGGGATTCATCCAATGTTAGTGAGAATTATGAATTAAATATGATTAAATATTGTAATAAAATTCATTTTACAATTCTATTTGCACATTTTGAAAATTGTAAAAAAGTTTAAAATCTTTAATAATGACTACAAAGCAAAGAGAAAATTTTATTTTGAAATTAAATTATCTATTATTTGAAATGCTTGAAAAAATTCCTGCCTTTCTTTAGAAACTGATTGAAAATTATCTAGATTTCTTTGCTGCTGCCTGCTACTAGAGAAATCAATTAGCTGTGCAATTGTTCAGAATTGCTGTGATAATTAATGGATTGCAAGAATTGTCATTAATGGAAGACAACTTACACTA